AGGGAGGGGAGGGTTTGCGGGACTGGGGTGTGCTGATGGGGCGGGGATTGATCCCTCCTCCCCTTGAGCCTGTTTGAGTCTGCGTGCTGATGGGACTGTATTTGTATGAGTATCACGGACACACAGACGAGTGTTACGGTTAATGACAGTTTCCCCCCCCCTAGCCGAGCAACGATTAGCCTAAAATTGACCCAAATGCGGAGGGCAGGCACCGAACTGCGGAGGCGTTAGACGGGAAGCAAAAATAATAGTCCAGGACCTCAGCAGTCGCATCTGCCATGACGCCTGTGTCGCCGAGCCCGTCTGCTTCAGGCGGCCCCTCACGCACCGAAAAGTATGTAGGTACATTGTGGTGGTGAAAGGTGTCTTCAACTTTGTGCCTGTTGTGGATTTCAGATTCCGCGTCGCCGCTGGCACCGACAGGGCAGCCGAGAGGATTGTCCTGCACTTGAAGAGCCTCGATGTCGATGGCGACGGCAAGGTTAGGTATTCAGTCAAGTCGACTGACTGTGAGGTGTTTCCAGTGTCCTTTTTCTGTACTACAGTTCACTGTTGATGATGTCGTGCGGGCAACGTGAGAGAGAGAGAGAGAGAGAGAGAGAGAGAGGAGAGAGAGAGAGAGAGAGAGAGAGTATTGTAGAGAGAGAGAGAGAGAGTCATTTGTCTGTGACCAGGCGGAAGCTCTTTGCCGAGAAAAACACTAACACACGGCTCCGCTGGGTCATCGCTGTGGTAAGTGGTAGAGCCACAAGGGAATGCGGTCATGCTCTTCTGCAAACAGATGTCAGCGGCCTACGTTGCCACGATGGCCATCATACTCGGCTTGGTGCGCAAACATGACAAACACAATCAACACGACAGACCATTGTGCTCCAATCACTTGGTCTCCAGGTTGTTGGCGGGTTTGAGCGTAAGAGCGCACTTTGACATCGTTGCCAATGCTTGTGAAATCGTCTGTCGCTTCAGTGAGCAAGGAGACAAGGGTCAGGCCTGGGGGCTACTTGAGTACCAAAGCAAAGCCTTCGATGCCCATCCGTAGGCCCTGCATGCTGTTTACGATACGAACAAGCCCTGCGATGATCATGTTTGTCGGCTAGGAGTGCGAGAGCACTTGGATGCGTTCAGCTTGTACGACGTCTTCAGGTGAATGAACGAGCCACACAACACGCCAACACACCCAGCTGAGTGCACGTATGGGACCGAAGAATGCTCCCATGCCAATGGCATGCAGCACACCGATAGAGGACTACGACTCGGTGGAGGCAGTGATTATTCCGGTATATTTGGAATTTCTCTGCCTTCTTGCCTGCTGCCTGTGGTTTCATATTTGTGTGGTGCGTGTGGTGTGTCCCTCTACCTGGCTGGTTATCGTTTGGTCGTTGAATCCCATCATGGTTCCTGCTCACTGTCCCGTCAAGCACAACGAGACTGGGTCGTTCGGATACTACAAGGTCGCCTCCATCATAAATGGCCCTGCGTCCCTCCTCATCTCGATGGTGCTAAGAGGAACAGGTAGATGACTTGATGTCTCCTTTTCACCTTCAGGTGGGGGGCGAGTCCCTGGCTGTGAACCCCCTGGGCTATACTTTGATCGACGCTTACGGAAGCTTTATTCGAGACATTTCATTCGTCGAGGAGGCTGAGCAGGCGGCGCTATCTGTGCCAGAAAGAAATGGGACAGATGACGCGTCTGCGACCCGCAGGCGCTTGTACGACAGCGCCCTGGCGATCAGATGTCGAAACGGCGCAAGAAGCCCGCAGTGCTTCTCAGCAAACGCTGTCAGCGTGTTCAGCGGCGTGACTCACTCTTTGATGATCGGGGGCCAGCGCGTGTCGGTGCCCTTCAATTCGCCAATTCTCAGCTCATGTGAGCGGCCGATGTCAACTGATCCTTGATGGACTGATACGTCAGTGTGTGTTGGCATGTTCACTCACTCTTGTCTCACTGTCTACGTATGACATCTTGCCGATGCCTCCTTTTTAACGTCAGACATCGGGCGCCGGGGCATCGGTCGAGGCCGCGGCGGCGTCGGACCTCGCCCAATCAAAAAGGCTGGTGGCTGCGGTCCTGCTGCGTATCGGTGCACGGTGAGCACACTTGTGCAAAGTGCATTCCAACAGACGAGACAAGCTTTCCTCACTGTGTGTCATCATTGCATGTGTCGCACAGTCTGACTCAGAGTGTTGCTCCGGTGCATGTGTTTCCAAGCTGAGTTCTGGCGGCGGGTTCTGCACCCCCACGCGGACGGATCTGCTTACCAGACCCAAAGATCTCCGCCAGAAGAGGATCTACTGAACGAAGAAGCTGTGGTGGCATTTTCCACGGTGCAGGAGAAAACACCTCACGAAGGTTTGAACGCTACGTATCGCAGTCACGCTTTCCGGCAGACAGAAAGGGCCCAAAGGGCCGGCGGAAAGGTGCACCATGCCACCCGATGCGGACGACGTTGACGTGTGCAGCGACAAGAAGAGCATACTTGTACGTTCTGAATCATAACATGTGAATCGGCTGGGCTATCACTCCCAGTCGAAATGTCCCTCAAATCAGCCGTCCGGGCCCATCATTCAGTTGGAAAATCCTCAGACGATAAAGACGCCCTCTACCCTGCAGACTGATTGATACCGTCACCATGGCGTTGGAAGAAAAGAACTCGCCGTGTCCCTTTAAAAAAGCCCGATGACTCTTTCTTTCCTCAAAGATCTCGGACAGTGATCTTAGGTAGCGTTTCAATCGAGACTCGAAAAACTCTAGAGGGGCTCCCGCAGCAGGACGAATAATGAGACAAGAAGCGAGAGAAGAGACGGTCTTTCTTCGTTTAGTCATGAGTGTGACTCAGGCACTGGATCACCTCCGCAGACCACAGGTGGGTCAGACGTAAGTGGATCCGGGCTGATGAAACGTGAGAAAATCAGTCCCATCGTCTTTTTTTTATCGCTATCGAGCATGCCGGAACAAACCTCACCCGACTTTGGTAATGATCACTGTGAAGTGCAATTTGCGACTTCCGCGTCTTACATCCCTGCTTCCCTTCTTTTCATTCTCCGTCTAAGTGAGAATAGTCAGTCACTGAGTCAGTCTCTGACTCAGTCGGCATATCACGGGTGTGGTACTGATTTAAGCGATACTCACTGTATCACTCTTCGATATGGCCACAGGACAAACAGAGCGCGGGGGATCGGGGTCGGTCTAGCCAATTGAAGCAATTGAAGCATATCAGTCACACGACACCAGTCAAGAAGAGAGATCAATGTACAAGCCTCCTCCCACACCCGCAGGATTGGCGCCACTTCGGCTGTTGAGATGCATACGGGGAGCAGCAGCATGAGCATGTTGCATTCTCTCGTCGTCGTCGCTGGGCGACTCCAGGTCAATCACCTCACGAGCACGCGCGTCGTTCACAGGAGGCGCGAGCTGGGGAGGCGACACATCCAGCTGCGCATGCGAACGACTGAGGTGACACACAGCAACGACCAGAGTCGGACTCGGAGTCTGCCTTCGGTGTCCCGTATGTGTGCTTACGGCTGTTCAGCAGAGTGCCCGTGCTCGTGGCCATGCGCCGACTCTGCAACGCCCTGGCCCACAGACAGGCAAAGACATGCCGTGTTGAGTCTTTGTGTATTCCATAAGTTGGATGCGACGCCTTACCTGATCTGCGCGAGGGCCATTGAGCACAGGAGGAAGCAGGGGGGGAGGAAGGGGCGCGGCCATCGAGGACGGCTCGTGTCTTGCCCGAGACGTCGGTGGCTCACTCTCCTCCTCCAAGTCAATTACCTGCGTCAACCATTCTTCATATGAATGCACACAACCATACATGGAAAGCAGTATACCTCGGGTGATGACCTTTGTCGCTTCGGTAATCTTGCAGGAGCAGCTGCGGCGGCTGATACACACGAAGAATGTATGGATCGGTACAATGCAGTAGGCACCTGCATACCAGCGGATGCTCGAGAGACGTCACCAAGAAAGGGTTCCTGCTGCACCCACCAAAAACACACATGCACAGCATCGTCATTCAATGCATGTTTTCTGACCTTGACCACAGCCTGTGCGCCACGCCTGACGTCCTCAGGAGCAGGCAGTTGCCACCTTCCGTCCTTTTGGACAGACCACAAATTCGTCCACACCGGTCCATTCTGTCTGAAGTGTTTCGTGTTACCTCTGTGATTTCGATCTCGTCGACGTTGGCCGTCTGCCTGTCCGCGAGAAGGCGTTTGAACCACATGTCAACAGTCAGGTCGGCGGGCCTGAAAATGAACGCATGTTACGTAGACGACGAGAGCGGACGCTGTGCGTCTTGATGTACCGTACAACTAGGTGGCAGCACGGGCACTTCCACCTGCTCGTGGGAGGGAGGCAATCAAGCTCCTCTGCCACCTCTTGGTTGTGTCCCTCTCTATGTGCGTGCGGGTGCACTGGCGACCTGTTGTTAAATGACCTCTGCGTGCTGGTGATCTCGAGAAAACCCATCAGGTCAAAGCACTGGAGGTGACGACACGAACGACCACGAGCAGGGATCGAAATACTGAGAGAGAAAAAATGCGGACACCTCCATGATTTCTTTCCTTGGATGTAGCTGCGTACCGATGAAGTGTATTTGGGCACGTTAGCTTCACTTTCCGTCCGCCCTGGACGCATGTCACCTGTACAGACCATGCCATGCTGCTGAGAGCGAATACAGTACTGACGCAAACACACCTCGTCATCGTGATTCTGCCTAAAGAGATCCAACACTGAAGAAGAAGACCATCCTGTGCAGGCATCCTAGAAGACCGTGCTTCTTCTCACCTCTTCTGAGCCCGTCCCTCTCAGATATTTCCTGTCTGCGCACAACCTCCTGAACAGTACGACAGCAAGCCAGAGTGAGTCACATGTTTCTGTTTTGCCACGCAGTGCCTCACTTCGATGTCTGCAGGTGTGCGCCGCTGAGCTACGAAGAAACCAATAATGTACGCCTACACGAACGCAATAGAGCACGGATACAGGCACACCTTGAACACGGCTCATCATTGGTCTACCGGCCTGATGGTGACCCGCCGTCCATCTCGGTCCACTTGCTCATCAGCGATGCTCCAGTTGATTTCTACTCTGTTGTTGCCCTGATTCTGACCGGCGCTGAAGTACTTGGTTAGCTGCAAAAGTTTCTCACAGAAGGATGAAGCCGATATTTTCATCTTCCTTCTATTTTGACAGCTCCCTCTTGCGCGTACGTTGAGCGGCTCTTCTCTCCTCTTCTTTTCTGGTGACGCCTTCGGAATCTTGGCCTCTTGTGGAAGCTGCAGCGCACACGATTTCCGATCCGTTTCGGTCACACAACCACCTACCGTGTCATTGACTTTTATCGACAGCTCATAGGGCCACGTGTGCGTGAGTGAGGTGTCCCTGGTCGACAAGCATCGAACCCAAATCTCGTAGTTTTTCCTGATCACACGTGACGTTGCGTCATGGGCGTACATGCTCATGATGGATCTCTCACCGCCTCCACTCAACTAGCCTCGGAAGATGCAGTGTCTGCTGCTTCATATTGCTTCCCGAAACCAACACATGCACAAACAGAGGGCCGTCAACCTGAACCAAACACATGCACCGTGGCCATACCCAAGAAATTCAACGGTCATCACGTACCCAGGTGACCTGCGCTGTGTACTTGTGCTTGCTTACCACTTGGTTGAATGGGTCCATCTTCTTGAACCGACAGATATGACACACGTAGCGGCTCCTGTCCCCGTGATAGTGCACACAACGCTCATGCTGAAGGAAGCGAGAAGGAAACGCGGAAGAGGAACTTATGCCCGCTATGCTCTCAGTCCACCCGGCCACCCCACTTACATATAGTCCGTAACACTCCCTGCAGCGGACAGATGGCGACGAGAACGTGCTTCCCATATCTCGCCGGCCGCACAAACATGCCCCCGGCGGTGGACTTCCCGACGCCAAGTTGCCCGACGCTGCCGCCGCCGATGATGGCACGTTCCCGCTATAACGATCAGAGTCCGGAAACCTTCACACACACCATGTATCGTGCCATGAGGTTCAATGGTCTTCAGCGCGTACCTGTACATCGCTATGGTTGGTTGGTTATTGTTCAGGCTCGTGCTGACGCATTGGTGGCTGAGTTGCAACGGTTTCACAGCTACTCCAAAACAACGTCATAAGCCCCCTAGCTCCTTTTTTCTTGCCTGATCCCGCATCACTTTAAGGTCGGCATCACTTTAAAGAACGCACGGAGCGCTCACATTCAGCGACCATCCGTGCAGTCACTTTTCGGATTAACCACTGTCGATGGGAGCAAGTCGATGAGTGCATTCAAGAAAAGCATGCACCACTCGCATGAGGGAAGGACGGGATGGAGGAAGGGAGGGAGGGAGGGATGGAGGGAGGGAGGGGGACAAAGGATGTGCAGGTGGAGAGAGAGATGCATGGTGCACTAGAGGAGGAGTGCATACAAACGTACGTACACGCAGAGGCAGGCAGGAAGATCCACCCAGCGTCACAGGAGGCACCGACGAGTGCCGTGGCATGACCGACTCCCGACACTATCTGCAAAGCTAAACAAAGCCATACGATCAAGGATGCTTTCTGTCATAATGCTCCTCTCTCTGCAGTGCCTGTAAACCAGCTTCTCACACCAGCAAATCTGAGACTTGCCCATTCAACGTGCCCATCAGGCGTCAATCGGTATCTGTGTCGCGCCCCGCCACTTTCCGTCAACTACACCGTCATACTGCGCCTTCACACCCGACTCGCTGTATTTCGCCCCATCAGCAACAACACGATTGCCGTCGCCATCGAAAAACCTCCCACCAAACACTATCTGCAGCCGGTGAAGAAAGCGTGTGTCGGTCGTCCGTCTCTCTGCTTTGGTTTGTTCATGCGTGTGAGTGTGTGAATGGCATACCTGTGGCCATCCGGTGATGAGCTTCAAGACGGCCTGGGGGATGGTGAGGAACTTAACATAACTGCCAGAGCCGCTCACCCGCCGAATGCGTGGCACTAAATAGTCCGCAACAGTGTCGGGCTCCTCACACAAAGTATTGAAAAACCTGAAAGGGCGACCACAGGCAAGCAGCTAGAGCTGGACAGATGGATGGCTGGAGTGCCTGCCTTCCCTGTCTAATCCATACCTGCGAAAGGCCGGTGTGGAGTCGGCCAGGAGTAAATCTGTTAGCACCATCCCTGGGCTCAAATTGTGCACGCCTATCTGACGCAGCCACAGACATGCACGGTCATGCAGACAGGGAGGGACACACAATCGACACTGGGGAGGAGCTGACCTTGTTGTGATTTGCTTCCTTGAGCTCTTCCCTGATGGAGGCCGATAACTGCGGCATGGCGCGCTTGGAGGCGCCGTATGCAGCGTATCCCTTTGTTGCGCCGCCCTCTACACCTGCACCATCCATGTTGAAGATATGGCCGCCCTGCTCTTGCCTCGACATGATCTGAAGCCCCACAAGTACACGCCCGCACAACACATCGTCAAGTAAGCAGCCATCCCTGCGTGGTCCGCACCTCGATTGCCTTCTTGCAGCAGAGAAGGGTGCCGAGAAGGTTCGTGTCCAGCACTTGTTTGAGGTCGTCGGGCGTCAAGTCAGACAGGCGCCGCCGCTTCCCAGCCACCGTCCCTGCGTTGTTGACCCACACATCAATGTGCCCAAGCTGCTCGACGCAGAAGTCCCCAAGCCTCTCGACGTCTTGAGGGCTCCCCACGTCACACAGGATGCCCCCCACAGATGCCTTCGCACCGTCATTGGCAACACCAGGATCTCTTCTCAGGGCCTCCACTGCCATCGCCAGGCGGTCAGCATCACGCCCGCAGACGATCACTCTGTCGCCCTCTCTCAAAAATCTCTGCAATCCATCCATCGCAGACAGCCACTCAAACTGTCATCTGGTGTCCATCTGTCCCATCTATCCCACCTTTGCCAGGGCGTATCCGACTCCTTTGGTCCCTCCAGTAATGACCACGTTTTTGCTGGTGGTGCTCTGCAGCCTTGAGATCTTTCTCTCAGCGTGCGGTCTGCGAGCGGCCGTGCTGGGAAAGGACGGGGATGAGTCCGGAAAGCCAGACGCTAAAACAGCCGTGCACAGGTGCACTATTAGGCTCAACATTCACCCTTGCCGATGAAAATTCCTCGGGGTTAGGTGGGTTTGAGTAGGGCTCAGGGTTTACAGAATTGCGAGCTCGACAGAACGTCCTCCTCCTTCATCTGCATAGGGTTATCGAGGAGGCCCCCTGAGGACGACGAATATCTACGGCGCCGTGAACCTGGCGGCGGTTTGCGAGATGAGTTCCGAAGCTGACTGGGCTTTGCGAGACCTCGAGCGATGGGCGAAGAGCAAGGGCATCCACACGTGAGCACACGCGCGTCTGTGCAGTGCCATTCGCCTGATCTGTATATATGATATTCCTACTGTGTGTGCTGTGTGTGTGCGTGTTGGTGTGGTGTCATCTGCAGCCTCGAGGTATTGGAGGTCAATATCGACGGCAGCGCGCAGAACAGTCAGCCCAGCAGCGTCAAGATACGGTATGCGACCCACACACCACGCTGACATCGGGCACGGTGCTGGTGTGGTCGTGTGATGGTGTCATTCAGGCTGGACAATGTCCGTGTCGACATCATCGGGTACGCACACGAGGGCAGGGGAGCGCAGGCAAGGGAGGGGAGGGGAGGGAAGGGGACGAATGGGCAAGGTGTAGGTCATAGACACATCCATGCGTTTGTGTGACGATGCTGTCACGGCAGTTTGCAGGGCGGCATGCTCATCAACGTCATTGACGACCACTCCAGTGAGCTCGAGACGATGGTCAAGGCGTGCAGCAGCAGGGTACGTACGCACCCACGCCACACGTTGGCAAACAGAATGACAGACTGACAGGAAATACCCAACCAGCCAGCCAAGACAAACAACGTCACTAGCTTAGTCTGTGGGTGATGTTCAGGCGATGGAGGGGCGCTACACTGTCAGACGTAAGCTACCGGACACATGCATGTCCTACCGACGTCTGTATGCTTCATCCTTCCCTCTGCAGAAGCCTTTGAGGACCTGCTGACTGAGTACAAGGCCACCCTCATGGCCTCACCTGACGGGATACGCCAGGCAAGCACACAGACACAATGCAGGGGGCGGGCAGGTCAGTCAGGACACTGTGCTCACGCCCCGTTGCGTGTTGATGCGTTGCTTGCTTTGGTTGCTTGGCACCAGAGGTTCGACGCGTGGAGGCAGGCCAACCTGAGCAAACTCGGCGACAGGGCAGACCACACCGCGTTCATCAGATTCGGTCCGCACAGATACCCACGCACCCACCCACCCACACATACATCTTTGGCCCCTCAGATTCCCACGACAACGCGGCGACGGTCGAGTTTCTCGGGTGGCGTGTGTCGCTCGTTGAGACCGAGAACACCTACTTCGTCTCAAGCTTCGCCGAGTCCTCAGAGGAGAACATCAACGAATGGATCGTACGTGACGACCACACGGGCACATATGCAATGGTCCGTCCGTATGGTGTTGTGCTGTTGTGGTGGGGGTGCTCTCAGAATCGCAGCTGTGAGTACGCCTTCCAGGAGGCCAGCGGGCGCACCTTCGAGCAGATACTCGACTACCTCCTCAAACACGCACCACACGTACGTAGCTAAGATGGACATACAGAGAGAGAAGGAGAAGGAGAGGGGGGGAGATGGGGTGCTGGTGTGTGCTTCTTCTTCTTCTCATTCACAGTGTTTGTTGGACGGGGAGGGCGACGCGGCGATGCATGACGACGACTACGGCGAGGATGACGGCGACCAACTCCACTTCTCGACGAATTTCCAGACATGGGCGGTGCAAAAGAGGATCCCCGTCGGGTCGCCCCTCCAAAACGAGATCGAGAAACGCGTCCGCGAACCATTCGGTACACTTCACATGCACCATGCACCGATACTTATGTTTGTTGTTTGATGCTCATGACGGTGGCGGCGCTGTTGTTGATGCAGGTGGCGTAGACGCGATTCGCGAGGCGTTCATCTGCAAGGCAGGCAAACCCGTCCCGTCCCATCCCATCCATCCCATCCACGATGGGCCCGGCCCCTACACGCGGATATCCGTGTACTTGTGTATGTATTCGTTTAGGAGGTGGAGAGTGGGCGCAGAAAGTGCTGCACCAAGTACGGCGCGGGCAAGGTGGAGATCGGATGTCTGCCCGAGCTCGGATTCGTGCAACTCGCCATCGACCTCGGTGGGCGGGGGAAGCGGAAACCTAACCGTCTAGACGCCTGCAAGTGCACAGTCATCTCTCTCTCTGCCGTGTTCGTATGGTGTCAGCTGGGATGGAGACCGACGCGGCGACTCTGAGTCTGATAGGCATCCCCGCCAACACGCCCGTCGTGTGCAGCTTCCTCTTCTCACAGGGGGTACGTGGGGCGCCCAACCACACTCGCAACCTTTTGCATGGCTCTTCGTTGCCCCTTTCCATCTGTCTGTCTGTCTGTCTGTCTGTGGGTGCGGTCTGTGGTATGGTGTGGTGTGGCGTGCAGGCGATGAAGGCCCGGTCCTTTACGGACGCGTTTCGCGACTTCAATGCGTCGGACCATTTCTTCGTGTGGCAGAACAAACTCTACGGCACAGAGGCCGCTGAAGTGGTGCGTACGTCTGTTCACTTGATCAAACTGCTGCACGTGGCGAATATTTGTGTGCGCCGGTTGTGCACACAGGGCGGTGATTCCTCACCGCGTGTTGGTGGGGTGGGCAGCAAGGAGCAGAAGGGCTACGGCACCTCGCATATCATCCCCAAGGTCATGACCATCACCATCACCTCACACCAGGACCATATCAACCAACAAATTGCGTTTGTCTTGTCTGCTCTTTCCTGCGATGGTTGGTTGGTCCGTTGGTGCGTCAGATATTCAAGGGTTTCATCAAGGTGAGCACTGATGCAAAGCCTCGCTCCCTCCTTGCAATGATGCGTCCGAATGTGTGTGTCCCGTCCCGTGCAGGAGTACATCCCCAAGTCGTCGTGGCGTCCCCCCCTGCCCCCCCAGGCCTCATCCACCGGCAAGCGCCGTATCGACCACGACAACACGACCACTGCCAGCATGGACGTCGACCCCAAACCCGCGCCGCCCAAGCCCCATGCCGCCAACCACCAGCAGCACCACTCGCCCCTCGCTCACAAGCCCCTCAAGAGCATCCGGACCAATGGCATGGCAGACCATCACGCCCAGCAGCACGCCGGCCATTCAGGCGCCGAGAAGACGCTGTGCGACATGGGCTTCGACATCGCCATGGTCAGGAACGCACTCGCCGCTGCGCAAGGTCAGTTGTTTTGGCAACTGATAAGGGAGATGGAATCTTTGGGTCTTCCGTGGGTTCGTCCTTGGATGCGTGAGTGCGTGTTGTTCTGTTGGTTGTGTGCAGGCAATGTGGAGACGGCGGCGGCGTTTCTGCTTGGCGACGAGCAGCCCGCGCAGGTGGCCCACTCCGACGGCGCGGCAGCGTCGGCAGCGTCTGGGGCGGCAAACCAGCACCACCAACAACAGCAGCAGCGGAATGGACGACAGGTTGGTGCTGGTGCGGGGCAGGTCGATTGCACAGCACAACACGACACGAAACACGACGACGGCATGGATGGCTCCATGTGGGTCCTTCCTTCGTGGCTTCATCTCTTCTCATCCAGAAGGTTGGAACCTCAAGCTCGTCGTCGTCGTCTCGCGTGCGAGGTGTGTTTGGGGGGCTGTTTGGCGGCCGTGGGTGGGGCGGGGGTGGCGGCAAGGGCGATGCGGGTGATGGTGGCGGGGATGGTGGGGAGGACTATGACGGCACGGGTGACGTCCTCATGTACCACCACAGGGGGGACGCTGTCAACTTCTTCAGGTGAGGGAGGAGCACGTCCCTGTGAAAGGGTGAATGGGTGAATGGACGAATGGTGTGTTGGTGGGTGGGTGGTGCAGTGACTTTGTGGAGCACATAGGGAAGTTCTTCGCCAACATCCACAAGTACTGCGTCATCTGCTTCAACCCACACGCGGTACGACAGAGAGACAGGTGCATCGCACCCACATACTGGCCTTGACGCCTGCCTTGTCGATACATGCGTTTGGCTGGTAGGACGTCCTCTGCCGCAAGCTCTTCCCCTGCAACAACGTGAGAGAGAGGGGGGGAGAGAGAGAGGAAGAGAGAGAGAGAGCCATCGGTGCCTCCCCTCTCTGTGAATGGATGCTCAAATGTGTGCTGGTTTTGCAGGAGCTGTGCATCTTTTCGTATGAGGAGTTCGTGGCCACGGTGTACGCCGAGCTGCAGGACGACAAAGACCTCGTCGACCTACACGTCCGTCCGTCCGCACACACGCATTCACACATACACATGTGCGAATGTACTTACGTGTGCGCTGTGTGTGGTCTTTGGCTGGGCGGGAGGGAGCAGTTGTTTCTGGCGGGGTGTGCATGCAACAGCCAAGACACCTACGTGGAGCCATTCCCACCGCACGTACGCACCCATTCCACGCACCTACACCCACACCCACACCCATACACGAGTCTATGGATTATGTGCCAGTTCTTGAAGCGCCACGAGATCCGCACCCGATCGGGCATCTACGACAACCGTAAGCACCACACAAGACAAGACAACGCATCACATCGCGCGGACTGCACGTACACGCGGGAATGCTATCTGTGCGTGGGTGTGTCTTTGCAGCCAACGCACTCAAATCGGGCACGGCGAGGTAGGGTGGGCGGTCAGTGCTGCTTTCGTCCACTCATTCATTCATTCATTCATTGTGTCTCTCTGTCTCTGTGCAGGGCAGGGTATGCGTACGGTGGCGGGCAGCCGCAGAACAACCCCGACAGCAACAAAGACCTCTACAAGTGGGGATCGATCCACACATACACATACACATATATGTATGTATATACATGAACATATACATACATACACATATATACAGACACATATACATATACAAGCACGTGTACATGTGATGTGAGTATGGGTCAGGATGAAGCGCTGTTTCCAGAAGCTCCCGTCCGTCAAGGAGCTGGCAGCGTGCTCATCGGAGGAAGCCATCATCTCACTCCTGCGTACCCAGCCTCACACCCACTCACGCCCACCCGCCCATCCATCCATCCATCCATCCATGGGTGCCTGTCTGAATGAATGAATCTGTGAATGGATCATTTCCAGGTCGCGAGGGCAGCGATGAGGACGAGCCCGGTGAGGCGAGCGACCCGATGCTGCCGTACAAGCTGGTGCAGTTCGTGCTGGCCACCAATCGCATGATCATACGACGAATCGACAACACACCCGAAGCCATTCCTGGGGTGGGCTGCGTGAGGATGGATGGATGTCACCTTGTTTGACGGTGAACGAACGTGTGTGTCTTATTGTAGTTGAGCAACGTGATGCAGCTGGCGGTGTACAAGAATGCGCCAGAGAGGGAGGGTACGCACGGAGAAAGAGCCTATGTATCATCTGTCCCTTTGTCACGCCTCTGTCTCCATCGCGTATGGGTGCAGATGCGTTTGCGCAGCTGAGAGCCGCGTCCGGCCGTGGCAGCGCCTTCGCGTTCCACGGCAGCCCCGCACACAAGTGGTACAGGTACGACCTTGACACACATCCATCCATCCATCCATGCACTCGTGAGACATCAGACAGATGTTCGTATGGATGGCTGCAGCATCATGCGCAACGGGATCCGCAACCTGTCCAACACGGCCCTCATGACGGCCGGCGCCGCGCACGGGGCCGGCGTATACCTGGTACCCACGCACACAGACACAGACAGACAGACAGACAGACAGATGCTGATTGACTGATCCGTGGATGGATGGATGGATGGCTGCGTCGTGCTGTTTTGTGCTGTTTTGGGTGTATGTGTTGGGTGCAGTCCAAGAACAAGGAGCTCTCTCTCAGCTACTGCCAGGTTTGTCCACACGTGTCTTTGACACCATCAACCCATCTATGCATAGGTGCGCTTTTGGATGTAAAATATTGTGTGCAGGGTGCAGGGACGACGGTGTACAACAAGAGCAAGGCCCGCTCGCGCCTCGTCCTCGGCGTGTACGAGTACATCAACGACGACTCCTGCAGGAAGGTACACATGGGGGCGCACAGGCTCTTTGTACCCAGCCAGTATGGTTGTCCGCCATGGGTGCACGCACAGGATACTGGCCACCAGATAGTGACGGTGCAGAACGACAAGGCGTTGCTGATGCGCTTCATGTTGATATGGGAGTCGTCCAGCGCCCCCGCATCAGGGGGCTACTACGGCGGCCGGGGCGAGTACGGCAGCCTCACTATCGAGCAGGCCAAAACAGCGTGGGACAAGGTGCGCATGCGCACAACACAAGAACACAGAGCCGTACCCACTGGCTAGTTGCTGTCTGCTTGTCTGTCTGTCTGTCTGTGCAGTTCCAGGAGCGTATGCAGCGTGAGGATCGCGAGCGTCAGCAGCAGGAGAGCGTGGCCACGCTCGACCTCTCGTTCGTGCACAAACCCATAGACGAAGACCTGCAGCCGAAAAGGCACGCACCCGCACAAAAGAAATGCAGACGTATCCACATCCGTCTCTTCTCTGTGGGCAGGAACATCAGCGGCGACCGTCGGAGTGCCAGGCCACCTGGTGAGCACATATCCAGACCAACTCACCAATTGCCGCTTTATGCGTCTCTCCTTGTCTCTCTCTGGCCGTGTACCCATGCACCCCCCTGTCAGACCCTGTCCCCCCCTGTGAGTTTGAGCGTGACCGCCCCTGTCCGTCCCCCGATGCCATGGACGAGGACGACCAGGTGGCAGAGGACGATCAGTTCGAGTTCGAGGACGACGACAACGACATGCCCCTCATCGACAACGACTTCGCCAGGCCCGCCGAGACGCAACACGACAAAGAGCAACGGCTCAAGAAACAACTGGTCTGCGGGTGGTCGAAAATGAGGGAGGGAGGGAGGGATGGACTCGTGTATGGTGCGGTGTCTTTGGTTGTGTCAGGAGGAGCAGGAGTTGGACAAGCGGATGGAGCAGATCGAGAATCGCATGGAGGAGAGCGGCACACTCACCGCCGACAAGGTGAGAGAGAGAGAGAGAGAGAGAGAGGACCGAACACATAGCTATTGCCAGTTTGTTGGCTGCGCTTCAATGCACTGCAATGTCTTGCATGGCCGCAGGCGTCGAGCGCCGCCACAAGGACGCTGATGAAGGAGTTCCGATCGCTGATGCGCCTCTCACTGACCAAAGACAAGGGTACGCACGCATGAAGGCATCGGCGCATTGGCACGTCCCTTCGTCCGTCCGTACTTTCGTCTGTGTGCACACTCCACCGAGTTCATGCAGATGGCAGCGAGTCTTCGACAGGGTTCGAGGTCACGTTGGTGCGTGAGAACATGTACCACTGGCAGGTCAAGCTCACGGCCGACGGCTTCCCCAACGACGCCCCACTCAAGAAAGACCTGCTCACCTTCGCAGAGAAAACCAAGAAGGTCAGCCACTCTCCCACTCACCCCGAATGCACCAGGCAGGCACATGCATGAATGGGTGCTTGGGTGGGTGCAGGAGGCTGCAGTGGTGATGGACGTGCTCTTCCCGGGCAACTTCCCCTTCGCCCCGCCGTTCATTCGCGTCATACGACCGCGATTTGTCTTCCACACGGGTAACCCACACGAAGTGTAGTGTTTCGGTGGGTTGGTGCCTGATGGGATGACCATGTATGTGTGCCTGGCATGCAGGTCACATCACGGTGGGTGGCAGCATCTGCATGGAGCTGCTGACGCCGTCGGGGTGGCGGCCGACCTACTCGATCGAGTCCGTCCTCATACAAATCAAGAGCGAAGTCATCGGTAAGCAAACACGGCACGGGAGAGAATGATCCACCGCTGAGTCTGTCTACACGTCAATGTATGTGTCAATTCATGTATTGCGTGCTTCATCTGCAGAGGGCGGCGGTCGCATTGACTTCAACCATGTGAGTGAGGTTGTGGGGAGTGACTTGGTGACTGGGTGACTGGTTTGGCGCCCATACGTGCGTTTGTTTTTGTTTTTCCTTGCAGTGTGGCGACTACACTGACGCTGAAGCGAGGGCCGCGTACGACCGGGTGGCCCGCCAACACGGCTGGATCAAATGATCCATGCAACACGCATGGACACATACTCACCCACAGAGAACATCCAGACACACATAACACTGCTCTGGGGGCGGGCGGGTGCATGTGTACACAATACAGACGTACAGACATGATGATCGCATCGAGAGAGGGAGAGAGCATACATACATATTATATACATACCCATATGCCAACACACCTACGTGAATTCATGCCATCTCCCCCGGACGGAGAGATGGTTTGAAATTTTGACCCGAGCATCTTTGCATAGATGCATCCACTTGTGCCAATGAATGCATTTTTGCCGGCTGTGTGGGGGAGAGAGATGAGAGAGATGGCGGTGCAATGTCTGCAGAGCAAAGCGGCGGCTCTAGTAGGGACGGAGAGAGTGAGAGGAGCGAAACGACTGTATGTACCATATACCCAAACCGCCTGCCTGCCTGCCTGCATACATGACCTGCATACGTGCATGCCTCTCTGCCTCCCGTGTATTTATTTGTGTCCATCGACTGACTGACCGACTTATTTACTCAATTTCACGTCCAAGTTTTCCCGCTATCCCCAGCCGCCCGTTCACGTGCGCGTGTCGGTGCCGCTGCCTGGGTGATGGACTCACTCAGTATTACATCTATATGTGTCTACATGGACTGATGATCTGGACCACTTGCCTGCCTCCCTGCCGCCCTCTCTCAATCCTCCGTCAACCCACAGAATCCACCGTCTGTCGTGTGCTGGCAGACTTAGATCAAAGTTACGGAAGCGCAATCGCCAAGGCGCGCTTCTGCTGGAACCTGACGGCGATTCTCTGTCAGTCCTCATCCCCTACTCTGATAGCATACGTCTGGTGCTCGTGCTTATACCGGACTGCGACAGCACGTGCACACGGTGCACCCAGATATTGTGATTCTGTCAGTGCAGACCGCCGCGGAGCGCTGTCACACAGTGACGCTCAACAACTCGCTAAGCCTCACAGCTATGCAGCAAATAAAAGGCAAAGGATGGCAGAAACAGAAGCCCATGCCGGTTTTTTGCGTTTGTCTTTCACTTTCAGCGCTGTGTGTTGTCCTGTTTGCCCTCTTGTCGTCTAAGCCCACTTACAGACCCACCCGTCCATCCCATCTCGATGGAGCGCCAGTGAACCTGTCGTTGCTGGACTCCTTTGTCCGCCAATTGGAAGACGGCCTCCTTGGGAACCACTGGTACGGCCAATGACATGAGGCCACCGGCTTCCATGGCCCGGCCTTACGAGCTTGTGTGTGTCAGTGAGCGGTACTGGCGCCATTCCTTGGACAGGAGCAGCACGCTGCAGGCCCTGGCCTCGACAAATGAGCCACTCTCGACGCTTGCCGACAGGGCTTTCAGTCTTCGATATCACAAGGACACGCTTCTGCGGCTCTCCATCAGGGTTACATACATCCTGGCAGTCGGCCAGTTCAAATTTTGTTTGTTCCGTTTTGTTTGTGCAGGATGGGAAGCTCTTCTGCTATCCTCCGTCTGAGAGCGTGGTGCAAGAGGAGACACAGGACGCATCCATGAAAGAGTACATACAAATAGACAACACCTGTACAACGATCAACTGCCGCGGATAAGCAGATACATGAGCACAGTGTTCGTCGACCGACTGATTGACGCTATCGAGCATGCCGGAGCAACCCTCACCCATGTCGACTTTGGTAATGATCTCCCATTCATGCTTCCCTTCTTTCCATTCTCCGTCTTTCACAGCTGTCCACTTCGCATTCTGCCCAGTCATATGGAAAGACATGAACTATTCACTGGCGCGTGGTGAAAGGTGTGTCCAGCACCAGTCGACGTTCTACGATGCAGATCGGCCACCCACTCTCTTGTTCGGAACCGCCTCATCCGACCGATTCAACTGGGACGCGCCGTTCGTGCCCTACTTCACACATGGTGACAGCGACGAGAGAAGCGTGCGACAGCACCTGGCAGACGCCCTCTACAGCACGGTCGACGGGAGCGAGTCGCTGTATGTCCGGTTCGACAAAATGTGGAAAGAGAAGCGGGAGGGACTGTTCTTCATCGGTGAAGACAGATTAGTGAAATGAAGACAGACGATTCGCAGCTGACTCTCACACAGGGCGGAGGAATGACCCATCACGTCTAGAGACGGCCTGCGGTGTGAACGTACTTGATGAGAGGCTTTCTGAGGATGTCTTCTTGGCGGACAGCGCAAACAGGAAGATGCCTCGCAACTACTGTCGCAAAGAAGCAGAGGAAATGGAACGGTAGATGCCACACCTCAGTCGTCCATGCGTCCTCTGGGGTTCTTATCGCTTACAGGAAGCGCAAGTGCTCATCCGCCCACGTTTGTCGTGACCTGCCAACCACAGGGCGCGAGTGGCGACGTAGGTTGTCCAGGCATAAATACGTGTTGGACATGTAGGTACTCGTATATGGAGGAGGCACGTATAGACATTGATCTGTGTCTCACGCAAGGCCGGGGTTTGGCCCTTGGAGCCACCGGCTCCGCTTCCTCCTCCTGAGTGGAGCCGTCGTGTTTCAGCAGAAGCGCGCCTTCGACTTTGAGCAGTTCTATGACAGGTGTGATTGCATACGGAGTCAGCGCATACCCCTTTGACAACGACACAGGCCATTGAAGGAATACGGCGTAATTGTGCCCTTCACGGACGCCAATGATCTCCTTTCGAAAGTGCGGTGGCTCCAAAAGCACGACGAGGTGGCCAAGAGAATTGCCTCGGCGGCACACGCCTTCGCGTGGTCCTGTCTCTCTCAAGAAGGTATGTCATCTGATGTACACGTGTGTGTTTTCATGGAACACGGATGGATGTGTGGTGGGTGAAGGCATTCGTATGTTCATCGTCTCCCTGATGAAGAAGCTGCAGAGCATCGGGTCGATGAAAGCGGGGCCTGCGACAGGAGCTTCGCACCGTCGAGTCGCTTTGGACCCATCCAACCCCCGCGACTTCGCCAGACGGAAAGAAATTTGTCAATGGGGTGACGGCAATGACGTCTTGACGCTGTCTCTCTCAGCCTCTTGACAATCGTCTGTTTTGTATTCATGTGTTGCCCGCTCGGATTCTTGTTTCTCTTTTTTAAATGATGGATGGACGGCATTCACTCAGTAGAAATTCAAATATAGGCATGGCACAATGTTGAGTAATGCTTCGACGTATTTGCTTACATATTGCAGTGGGCAGACGATCGCTGTGGCCAGATACGCATGTGTACCACCTTACAGTATGGCCCTCTCGCTTGTTTGTCCGTGGCTCAAGCACAGATCGTGTGGAAACTGCTCCGGAATAGTGCATGTGTGAAACTGCTCTGGTCGAAACCTACAGTGAATCCCATCTCCCTAAGCCCGAGCGGACAGCCAGGCTCACAAGCAGCTGTCCCTCAAGTGCTACGCTGAACACTACCATTATGTCAGCACTGCAGGGCGAGGTCGAATGCACACACGAATCTGGCTGAGGGCACGTGCCCAAATAAAAGTCACGCGCACGGCCATCCATCCATCCAGCAGACACTACCTTTTACATGACCCGCGAAGACTAACTAATAGAGGCACACGGGCAGATAGGCAGACAGGCATACAACAACTCACGTCTGAGTGTGAGTGGCAGGCATGGCGAATGGCCTTTGCCACCGCCACGCTCGCTTCCTCACTCAGCGGCACACTCCATCCGTCCAGCCATCCAGTCAGTAGAAGCAGCGGACCTGACTACCTGACTACCTGACAACATGACATGAATACCTTTGCGAGGAAGAAGCAAGCACACGAAATACCTACACATACATACAGAGATAAAATTCGGGACCAAGGCCCGCAAGTGGGACAAACAGGAGCCCAGTGAGGGTGTGTGGTGCAACACAGCACTGCCCATGACGTGCATGACTTTGCACCAGTCAATGCAGGTGCGTGTGCGTGTGCGTGCGCTCGAGTATACGTCTCTCTCTCCCCATCTCTCTCTCTTTCTGTGTGAGAGGCTGACTGACTTCGCCGCTCATAAAAGCTGGCATTCACACATTCACACATCCATACATACATACGACCCCCAAGAAGACATACAGACATACAGGCAGGCAGGCAAGCAGGCAGGCACCCATGGCTCAGGAATACCTGAAATGCATCTCATCGCTACAGAAACGTCAGTCATTCATTCGCTCTCTCAGGGCCGCGCGTATGCGTACAGAGTACGGCCGCCGGTCTGTCTTGCGGCCCAGCAGCTGGAAGTAGACGGGCCGACACAGTCAACCCTGCCCCCACACTTCTCCCCCCCACACCAGGTCATCCTGAAACGAAGGGGCGGTTTCTTCTTCTTGCATTTCGACCGCGGTTGCACATCCACAGGGGGCGGGCTGACGAAGGCCTGCAGGGGAGCGGATAGCTTGCGCACGTCGAAACCGAGGAACTCGTCGTAGCTCGAGTCCCTCAGCGCACGGCGAACTGTCTGCTCCTCTGCACACAAGCATCAGACAGCACAAGTAGAACATCTTCACGTGTTTCGTGCCACTGTTCTCTGCTTACTTGTTCCGACGAAGCCAGCGCACTTGCGAATCGTGGTGAACATATAGACGTGGCCGCTCGCCAAGTGCTTTGCCTCGTACGACAGCAGACCCCTCCGCCCTCTCTGGCTCCGCTTGCCGCCCTCCACCGACTCGCCCACCCCGCTGTCCTGCATGTCCGTCTGGGTGTCTGGCACTGTCAGAGGCCTCCTCTGCACCACCACCTTCGACTGATGACCCCACGGTGGGATGAAGACGGGGGAGTCTGGCAGCTTGCGCTTGTTGGACCTCGTCTGGCCGCTTGTGTCATGAAGGCAAGGGGTGGCGGTGATGAGGGTCTCACGTGGGGTCTCCCAGATGGCCGAGGGAAGGGGGGTAGTCAGAGCTTGGGCAGGCGTGGAGAGGTTCGTCAGCTCCATCAGCGAGGCGTTGCCGAAGGGCTGCAGCTGGTCCGGGGCTCTCCACAGCGACGACTCGCGCTCGAGGTTGCCGGGCACGCCAGTGACGCCGCCCATGTCGAGTGGAAGCAGCGGCTGCCATGGCAATGCGCCAACGCCGCCCAGTATCGACTGGTCATCGTTGCCGAGAGACAGCCCTCCCAAACTCACGAGTGGCGCCTCGCTGCTGCCTGGGCAGCCGTACTGGAAGTACTGGAAGTCTGGGCCCGTTACGGACGTTTCGCTGCGGACGTCGTCGTGATCTGCTGAGAGGGAGGGGGGAGAAAAGACAAGGCTGGGAAGGCTGATACTCATAGCGTCACGATTGGACCACGGACTGAGTTGAGACTGCCCGTCGGCTGCCTAGGACATTGCGTGAAACTGCTCGTCCGAGACGGGGGGCCATAGAGACCCCTTTTCTCCCCTTCATCCCCTTCGTTCTCTCTCCTTTTCTCCCCTTCATCCCCTTCGTTCTCTCTCCTTTTCCCCTCATCATCATGCCGCCAAGCTGCCAGCACGCCATCAGCCTGGAGGACCTCTTCCGTGGCGTAAGTAAGTCCTCCACACTATCAACGGCAGCGTCCCTGACCCTCAAAGCCAATCCCTTCAAAGCATTCGTCCCCGAAGTGCCGTCAGCCGCTCACCTACACGACCCTGATTACGTCACCTCACTCGAGCGCAAACTCCTCGTCGATGAAGCTAGTAACGACAAGAAAGGCCACACAAGGCTCTTCCATGAGAGAATGCCACTCGGCAACAGCCTCTCGTCTGCGGAACTGGACAAATTACTGGAGACATCAGCCGCAATCACCGCAGGCCTTCAGGGAGTGCTATCGACTGTTGGTGGCCAGAAGCGGCAGCACACCGACGCGGCCGCTATGCTTCGCAGCAGGGGCAGACAACCAGACGACCGGTTGCAGGGCCGCGTAAAGAAGCTGAAAGAGGCATCGGCGGCAGCGCCCGACGCACCTGTGTGGTTGGACAGCCGGCGCGGCTCTCTTGCTGAGAATATGGACGAGGACCGTCTTGTCTCGCTGGTGCTGGACGGCGAGCACAAGCCTGTGTACCGGACGTCCGTGCGCACAGAGGCGAGGGCAGCAGTCAAGGGAAGCGACGACGAGGACGACGCAGTGGTCCGCCAGGTGTATGAGGGGTTCCTGATGCGAATCAAGCTGATGTATTTCTGGGACCGCATCGCGCGCGCCACCACCCGTCTACGGGGGCAGCTCGACATGATGGAAATCGCCAAGGACATTCCCTGGCCCGAGGAGCGCATCCATGTCCGCCCCAAAACGGCCACGGATTCGATCACCCCTCAGCGGCGAGAGATGCTGAGGTGTCTGGCGGAGGGAGGCAAGTCGACGGACGATGTCCGCCGGCGGCTCAGGTCGCTGGTTGGGACGCTGGAGGCCAAGTGGCAGGTTGCTGCACTCACCCTGACGAGCCTCTACCAGAGGGTGCCCAAGCATCAGCTGCTGGAGAGGCAACTCACGCGATACGAGATGCAGTTCAGCAAGGAAGTCATGCAGCTGCAGGAGGTCAGATCCACACGCCCACACGGACTCGGGCATAGGGAACTTGGCCTGGATTGTGAAGTTTGGCCTTAGGCTGTTCGTGTGCTGTGTGTCGGTCGGTGGGCGTATGACGGATGCAGGCCGTTCGAAGCGGTCGCAGCGATGTGCAGAAGGGGTCGTGCAGCCGCTTTGAGGCCGTCTACGAGAAGCTTCGTTGGTTCTACACCCACCTCCTCTCCTCCCGGCTGCAAGTGGAGGTCGCACACAGGGCAGCCAAAGAGGCCGAAAAAGAGGCCGAAGAACAGAAGGCGCTTATACCTGACGCAAGTAGACAAAGGGGTGAAATCACGACCACAGCAGCAATTGCAGATGCTTAAATATTCTTCTGTCTGCTTGTCGCCCTTTTTGTTGGTGTCAGTCGCCCTTTCCCAGCTGTTTCTGAGCCCTCGTGTCTCGCAAAGCACGGTGCCCACGTTCGAAATCGACCACGACAAACACGCAGCAGGAGCGCAGCTTGTGGCAGACGACAAGATTTGGCAGCTCATCGCAGCCACCGGGCTCGACTTCAAGGTGACAGCTCACCGAAGGGACGGAGCAAGCAAATGTGTGTGGGTGCATGTCTACACGTCTGCAGTCGCCAGATTTGAAGAAACTGTTAGCCAAGATCTACATCCGTGGCGGGCAGCGTCGGCGGAGCACCCGTACGGGGCTGCTTGAGAGCTACACAGAGCGCGACACAGGCGAGAGGCGACCAGCCGACGAGGCCGGCGAAGACGATAGGTCACTCGGGCAGCTATCAGTCCAGGCGAGCCCGCTACTCTCCGGCGCCGTCCTGCAACTGTCCAGGTCAGGCGCGACGTCGCCCGTCTCACTCAGCTTCGCGGGACCGACGCCGCTCGGCAGCAAGCCACGTGCAGACGATGAAGAGTCAGAGGTGGCAATCAGACAGACAGACATACAATGTGAAAGTGTGCTCAGAGCGCGCATGGTTCGGTTGTCGGTTGCTGCGTAGGCCACGTCCACCCTCAGCTACCACATGCTGGAAGAAAGCGCGGGGCCTCAGAAACAGCAAGAGCTGCTCGAAGTTGCACTGGTTAGTCAGTCAGTCAGTCGGTCAGTCTCTTTCCACCCACTTGTGCGACACCCACCGCTGCTGACCACGTGCACACAGGCGTCCAGATCGGGCATGTTTGCGGTGTCCGAGGCACTCCGACGCTCCAAGGGCACGGGCGATCGGGAGCGCGTCTACGCCAACCTCATTGAGAAACAGGAGCTGACCCGCCTGGAGCTCGTTGACAAGGTTGCGACGCAGCAGACCATCGTGGACGTGTTCCAGGAGGAAATCGGCCAGGTGCTGCACGCGGCCACCACCATCACTGACGAGGAGTTCGAGGAGGCCAGGCAAGAGATGGTACGACAGTCGCGGCTCCTCACGGCACGCAGCAGGACAAAGGGGCTGGTGGACGAGGCCGCTTCTGCCGGCCTTGTGAGCGCCGTCTCGTTGCTTGTGCCGGAGGAAGAAAACGAAAGCTCAAGTTCGGCATCTACTCATGTTGATGCCGCGGCCGTCCAGCAAGGGCAGCAGGATTCGCGAGGGGCCCAAGTGGAGGCACGCCGACAAACACAAGACACGGAGCAGCAACAAGGGCAGAAGGAGCCAGGGCAGCCTGACATGGCTGAGGTAGAGCCACGGCCACAGGGACCGCAGCCCAAGCCGCCTGTCCTTCCCGAGGCCGCCCTGTCACGAGGTCGCCCTTCGTCCGCTGCATCCCTCGGGACTTCGGCGGCCTCGGTCGCTATGTCGATCAGCCCGTCAGCGCTGCTCAAGGACCTGCCCGAAAAGCTGGAGTCCCAGTCGCTGCAGGACGACACCATCGGCACGGTGCGAGCCCTGGCGGTCATGTGGCGCCAGGTCAGGGACACCAGTGAAAGGTTCTACGCCAACGCTAGCAGACTCGTCGAGGAGACGGTGGCGGCGGGAGGAGAGGCGTCCAGGACCCTCTACACGCTGCTCGACAACGCCAGGAGAAACTGCTCTGTCAGTCAGCGTACATGACGAGTGAATCAACGAGTCGCACTCAATGAATGGCTGCCTCACGGGTTCATCGTCTGTCCGTCCATTCGTCTACCCATGCAGGCACTGCCCAACGTTGAGTCGTTCGAGAAGCATCTGGAGCAGATTCTGGCTGTGCCTTTGCCCAAGGACTGCTCGACGCGGTCGCCTGCAACAGACGGCGCTGCAAGTGAGGCAGAGATCAAAATGATGGTGGCAAGAGCAGTCCCACACAACATTCGCACTGCGGTGAGTGAGCAAGCGATACCTGCTCCCATGACTGACTGACTGACTGCCTGACTGTCTACCTCTTACTTGCTCGCTTGACTGTTTGTATTGGGTCATTCAGGTGAAGCACGCTACCAACGCCATCGACACGAGCGCCCTTTCCGTTGGGGAGATCAAGAGGCCCCTCGCTTCGTGGATTGAAATGCTCAAGCAAACGCCGCTCGCTATGAATGATGAGCTAGCCAGCAGGATACGCGAGGGCGACGCTGGGCAGCCGCCTCTCTTGGCGAAAAGCGGCGGGAAGAAGGCGGCCAAGAAGGCGCCGGCAAAGAAGCCTCCGCCACCTGCCATCGACACGGAGCCGGCAGAGGAGGCACAAGAAGCCGTCACGGAGATGGAGCCGGTCGTTGCTGAGATTAAGTGGGACGAAATGTCGCCGCGGAGACGCGCTGACTTCGACAATATGACCGTGAGTCAGTGGCGCGACAAGTGAGCATAACGCTCATTGGCTTCACTGTTTGTTTGTTCGAGGGTGCAGGTTGTGGTGGATAATCTGCGGCGGATCAGGGACCAGCTACAGCGGAAGGCGGAGATCGATCAGACCATCGACCTTGCGAAGCCAACAATGGCACGCACTCGCACGCACTCTGATGAAAGCATGCATTCACGTTTCCGTTGATTCATTATTGCACAGCATGACCAACTATTTCCTCTTGTCGACCATGCACTGGTGCAGGAGCCGCCAAAGCGCAAGAAGACACGCACGGGAACGGTCACTTTAGCTGGCAGCGCTGGAAAAGTACCTTCCAAGGAGAGCGTACTGGGACCAAAAAGGCCGAGTCCGAAGGCGAAACTGGCGCAACAGCCGACCTTATTCGTTGCGTTGGGTGCACAGTCAACATCCTTCTTCACCGACAACCCGAGGCCCGAGGTGACCCTGCTGCTCGACCAAAAAGCCGGGCTGAAGGAGCAGGTCCGACGGACAGATATTCTTCAGCTTATCTTTGCCGGTCTTGTTGATGGGTCCGTGCAGGTGGGTGATCTGCAAAGAAGGTTGGCCGATCTGGAGTCAGCGCTAGCATCACGAGCATCTATGGAAGCACAAGCCCCCACAGCCGTCGCTTCCACTCTATCTGGCCGTGCTGACAAGGCCCGGCCCGACAGCGGACCGAGACACGGGCCCGCCCCCTTGGGTTCACGGAGAGTTGCCGAGCCCGCCCCCTCAGTGCCAAAGAGCCCAGCTGAAAGAGGACAAGCGCAACAGCAGACCGCCAGGGGCAGGACACCAATAGCGCCATCGGAAACGGTAGGCGCTGTGCCTAAGCCCAAGGCCAGGGAGGGGGTCAGAGCGGCCCGCAGCGACAAAGAGGGGGCTCGCAAAGCTGAGCCTAGACGAAGCCCACAGAGAGAGCCCAGCACACAAGACAGGTCCCGAGACGATGACGATGGCCGCAGCACAGCAACAGCAAGGGGCAGGAAGGACATGGAGAGGCAGTTAAAGCAGCAGCAGCAGCAGCAGAAAAGCCCACCACTGTCCCTGAAAGCCGTTGCCGTCGGTGAGAGGGCGGCTCGGACACTCCCTCAGCAACCGCCCTCTAAACCAGCCGCAGTTGCTGCCCCCACTCATACTCCTGGAACGGCGACGCCATCTCGCAGCTCACCAGAGGGGCAGCGCCACGGCAGGGAGCGGAACAGAACACCCGACACCGACGGCAAAAGAGCAGCGCAGGAGGTGGGTAGAGCAACATTTCAGTCTGTTCGCAGCAAAAGTATTGCTCGCATCGTGTGAGACGCGTGCTCTGTCCGCCACAGGAGCCCAAGTTTATGTCTGAGGACGACCAGCACTTTCCGAATTTGTCGGAAGATATGCGGAGGATCAAAGCTGAAATGCTGAAGGGGGCTGGAGTGACAAGCGCACAGGTGCTGATCTACTATGTCGCTGCACCTGCCTGCCATTCTCGTTCGTGGTCTGTTTGCAGTGGGTCAAAAGCTCGGTCAAGCGGCGCAGGGTGGCCCGGTGGGTTGTGAAGCAGAGGAAGACCCTGAAAGTGTACGTCGGATGCACGGCATGTGCACGCACACAGATGTGAGAAAGAGACCCAACCAAGTCTCGTCTTGTCTGTCCATTGGCTCACAGGCGTCTTTTGCTTGCCCAAGGTCTGCTCAACAAGTTCCTACTGCGACAGATAGACCAAGCCACCGCCAGGAGCTTCAAGAAGGTGCGCGCAGGTGCAGGCACCCGCAAGAATCAAGCGGTCTTCTCTCTTTTGAGGCTCTCTTCCAAATGTTGCTGCTTGATGTTGCAGATGCTCGATGGTGGTGGCAAGGAGAAAGACTTCGGAGAGGAGCGGCGGGCGCTCGCTGTGCGGATAGGAGACATCAGCAGACTCGTATGCAGACAGCCAGACAGACATGCACACGATTCCCAATGGCAACCACGCATCGGACACGGTGTGCTGTAGTGTGACTTTTGGCGTGGGCGCCTCGACATCCTGGGCGAGGCTGTACAGTATGGGTTCGCTGATATTCTTGAGTTTCAAAAGGCCAAGAAGGACGGCACCTTAAGGCCGCTTCAGGACGTATACGGTATGCCGGTGCCCCCCAAGGTGGCTGCGGCCAAGGCAACCATCAAGGCACTGAGGCCGACAGCTCTTTCGTAAGCCGTGAACCCACTGCGCAGGGAAGGATTGTCATGCACGAAGAGACATGCTCGCTTCTCACTCATTCCTGTCTGCAGCGCGAGGTTGAGAAGAGTGCCCGTAACAGGGCTGGGCGAGAGCCGTATCAGTCATGTGACAGAGGAGACAATTGAGGTGAGGGACGAGTCAAGCAGCAAATACCTCATGCACAGATACATGATACCCCATGCCAGCTTGAGAGCCCCGTGCCCCAGCGTCCTCAAGACCGACCGGGACGCGGATCCAGCAGGCTCCACAGTCCGATGAAAAAGAGGTAAGCGGATGGCGAGACGGGCAGATGAGTCAGAGTAGAGCTTGTGTGTCCCTCTTGTCTCGCGAAGTCCAAAGGCCAGCCCAAGCATTTATCGTCGGAGCCGTCGCCGAGTGCGGCGCAGCCTCACACAGGGAGACATGGACGCTGCGAAGCTCCACCAACAGCTCCAGCAGCAGCTGGCTCTCCGCAGAGGCGACACAGCAACACCACAATATCAGCTGACACTTGTGACCCGCGCCCTTGAGACGTCGAAGGGCGGGCTGCGACGCTCGAGCTCGCTGGGAGACATGGATGGCCTGAGAAAAACCCGGGGGAGACTCAAACGGCGTCATAGTAGCGGCCTTCGGTCGGCATCTAGCCGCGGAAGCAGCTGCGTCAGTCCCGCCCCGGTGCTGCCGCACACGCTGGCTGGCCAGCTGAAAGGGGTTTCGCGCAGCCAAACAGTGACCGCCCTTGGCAGTCGCAGGCACTCATTCGCCCACAGTGGCCGGTCATCGCGACGCAGCGTGTCCAGTCGACGCTCCTACCAGGGTGGTCAAAGTGAAGATGGGTCAAGGCGATCGTCGGTATGCTCGGCGGAGGGGGAGAAGGCATACGTGAGAACGCGAAGGAGGGCCAGGTCCGTCATATTCGGCCGACGGCCGACGGGACTAGACGACCTGATAGCCTCTCATTCGAGGACGTCGACGCCCGAACCTGAGAAGACAGAGGTCGACAAAGCAAGCATCATCAATCAGCACCTGCAAAAGATCTTCCCTGTAGGCTGAACGATATGTACATGCCTTTTACGCCAAGAGAATCAACACGTGACGGTTTCTCTTTCTCGTCCAGGAGGCTGTCGAAAAGGGCAGCCCAAAATCGCCTCAAAGTCTCTCACAGGTCAGCCACGCACGCATTGTCGCAACACCCCTGCTAGTCCTTGGCACTTCATTCAGGCGATGATCAAGTATATGGCGCGGGAGAAGGCCGAGAGGCACCTCCTGAAGGAGTGGCTCGACCGAATCCCTGAGCTCAACTGGCAGGTGCGCGAGGGCCTCTTCACAGAGCTGATGGCCAAAGAGGAGAGGCTCATCGCCGACTTTGCCAAGTGAGCGAGCCACCAAGCAACAGGAGTATTTATTCATTCATTCATTATGGATGCACATGCTTATCTGCCTTTTTCACCTGAAGGAAAGGGCTATCCTTCACGAGCGTCAAATTCGCCACAGCCGAGCGCGTGCTGGCGCTTCTGCGTATGGAGTTGATCAACATACACAATGCCGTCGACCAGCAGCAGCAGCAGACGGTCAGCCATCAAGCAGAGCCGCTACACTGTCGAGACAGCAGCGACTGTGTCTGGTGTGTCATTGCATTGCAGCCTGTCTTGGACAGAATCCGTGTCCCCGATCAAGTGACCGAAAAGCTGCAACAGGTCAACCGACAGACTCACAGCCACTCAGTCCTGCTAATTGCCGTGTCTCTTTGTCACTCTCTGTGCGTGTGTCTGTGTGTGTGTGCGCTGGTTCAGATGTACGATGTGTTCCTGCAGAAGGTCACTGCCAAAGAGGAGGCCCAGCGGCGGGCCGAGGAGATGAAGCAGCGCGCACTCCTGCTCAAGCAGCAGCTGCAGAACATCCGCTTCAGCAGCGCTGCCGACTCAGTCGCAGTCCAAGCCGACAGAGCAGACATACCTGACAGGCTCGACAAGGCGGACGAGACCGACAAGGCCATCGATCAGGCCGCCCCGGCCACGCCGGCCAAGGGCTCGACCAAAAGCTCCCCGAAGATGTCTCCACCGAGAGTTCGCACACCTGGCCCGATCGCGTCACGAAAGTCGTCGCGGCCGTCCACGGCGGCTCCTCGCAGGGCGGTAGCAGAAGCCGGGGGCTCTGGAGAGGCGGCAGCGGAGGCCCCCGCCGACAAAACATCACTCGGCCTTCTTTATGCAATTGGCGGAGAGTCGGATGATGCCCTGAGCGACGTGGAGACCCCGAGGGTCGCTGCACCGGTGACTGACCAAGACACTGCGGAGGAGCAGGAGGCTCGCGAGCAGGCGCTCCGTGAGGAGCGGCGTCGGCAAGTGCGGAATGCTTTTCTGTCGACTTACTTTGCTGCCTGGCGGCTGTATGTGGAGATGCAGAAGCAGGGCGTGAGGATGCCACCCGATGATGAAGACGAAATGGCCATTGGCAGGCCCTCAACCACAAAGCGCAAGTCACAATCACAGCGGAAGAAGAAGGCCGCGAGTGAACGTACGAGCCAACGTCTGCTGTTCTCCCTTTTCCCGCCCGACGCTGACGAAAGTGACGAAGAGGATCCGTTCGCGAACGAGGACCTGCAGCCACTGATCCACGTTGACGAGGACGACTCCGACGTGAGCCAACACGGTGACACTGAAGCGCATCGGTTGTCGCGGCGGGTTATCCGGGTGGGGGACGTAGAGTTCGAGCTCGACAAGAAGCAGTACGTGGCGCTGCGGCAGCGGCGGGACGATCGCATGCTGGTCCTCAATCGTGAGTACGGCAACATGGCCGTGGCTACCGACAACCGGCGGGTGCAAGCCATCAGAGAGGTCGCTAACGTCATCAAGAGTGAGATCCAAGAAGAGCTCAGAGAAGCCGCCATGTCCTGGAAGCGAAAAGACTCCTTCTCGGTAACTCGTGAGTGAGACTGTACGAGCGGATGGCTGGGCACATCGTTTCTCTTCATTCACTGGCATTCCTGTGTCTATGCGCGAGCACAGAGGGTGATAGAGCATGAGGATCAGATGAGGTTAACGTCGCAACGGTAAGCAAAACGAGTCACCAATCGACTTGTCATTACAAATCACATTCACTGCTGTATGCACACACGCAGAGCGAGTCGCAAGTCGACTGCCCCCGTGGTTGCGGTGTCGTCTCAGCCCCGTACCCCGTTCTCTCCCCAGGGTCTCCATTCCTCCCGCACCAGCCAGCGAGGATCTTTACACAACATATGGGCGAGCCCCGAACAGATGACCCCGCCAAGGACTGCACCCACACCACATACTCAACAAATGAGACAGCAAGGCTACCCCGGCAGCGTTACGCTGGCGAAGCCCGACACCAAGGATGCTGTCGCCGATGCAGATGCAGCAGTGCAAGACAAACAGCGGCGTGCGATGCGGCGAAGCTCGACCCATGGCATTATCATGTCGATCATGGACGAACAGGACACGAAATCACAAAAAGCGGGTAAGGGATGTCGGGAAGAAAGGTAATGGGATGCATAAGTCTTCTTCCTGGATGGATCCCTTCATGTCTCGTAGAGCCCAAAGTGAGCATCAATGAAAAGGTCCTTGAGCATCGAGTTATGATTGATGACTCCGAGTCGGCAGGGAGCGCTACCGACATATCAATGCGGCATCACCAAGCTATCGAGCCAGTGGCATCCACAACAAAGGAACTGCCCAAGCAGGACAAGAAACGACCTCGATGGAGCGACAGTTTTACTCCCTTCCAGCCCGTACAGGCGCAATCGATGGCTGCTGATACAAGGGAAGCCCAGAGGTCCGCCCCACGCCCACGCACGACAGACGCCCGCCCACCCTCCTCGTCCATTTACCCCCACGTCAGCGAGACGCGACCAGCTGAAGTGTACGCGACACTCGCCAAACCAACATCAAGGGGCAGAGGCTATGGTAACCTTCCTTCGCCGTCACCTGCACGTAAGCAGCGCTCTCTCTGGAGCACGGAAAGAATCAGTAAGTGGGTATCTTTTTGGGTCTCCCTCACTCATGCCAGGATTCACATATAAGAAGCGCGCTTTGCGGGCATCTCGTGTTCAAATGCGGCGGATGTCTGGGGGGCCTCTTCGCGTCGCGACAATTGGCGTCAGCACTGGCAGCAGGTATGGAAATCCTCAATGTCGTACGTTTACGTGGTGTGTATGCTGGATCCCTGTGTGCAGGATCGCCAAGCGGCATCGGGGATTCCTAACACGCCACTTCACCTCGCTGTCCAGGACGGCTGGCGCAATCCTGAAGGGCGGGCTTCTCAACGCCCAAGGTGCGCTGCAGGCCCAGAGGAGGAAAGTGCACTGCAAGAGGCGCAAGTTCTCGGCCACTTACCCCGACGTGCATGCGCACTACCATTCGCTGATTCACTCTCTCGAAGACCTTGTAAGTGAACGACCGATAGAGTCGCGAAGTGCAACAGGGCGCTTACTCACATTCGCCTTGCAGGTCAATGAAGCGGTGGCGAGTCTGTGTGTGAGTCCATCACTATCCCTCCGCCGGCGTGCCCCACTGAAAATGGAGCGTTCTTCGAAGCCAGAGCCTCTCGCGCACAGGTAGGCATCGTACGATCACTAGCACCCGTCGATTGATGCCAGCCTTTCTGCCTGCATCTCTGCAGTGACGGCCGTCCGGCGTCTGCACGGGACAGATATAGCATGCCTGGCCAGAAGCCGCTTGTGCTGCACGCCACTCCGTCTTTGCCTCAGGTCAAGAAGAGCAGCCCAGCCCAGGCAGTCATCGACCACACGACCAAGAAGCCATCAGTTGTCCACTTCCTGTCGCCACATGAGCCCCCACCTCTGCCTACCAAACGACTGCCGGTCACTCCTGAGCCCCACCACGTGAGCGAGACGCGGCCAGCTGAAGTGCATGCGATGAAGAGCGCTTTGGACCTACCTCCCGCTTGGCGTGCCCTTGATAGACAGCCCTTCGCGAGCCCGGACACGGAGAGGTGGGCTCACGTAAAAGGAGATGGCCGACAGCCCTTGGGTGGTCCGCAGTCGCATGCCGCTGACCTGACTGGCGATAGGAAACATCCACCAAAGACCGGCCTGCGTCCCGCCCCTGCTGTTCCCCGCGCACCTCCCGAAAGACCAGCGAGCCCAGCGGCGCCGTTGATGGTGCGGCCTTTCGTCGAAGCGGACACTGCCCGTAAGCGCGCCAGGGACGAGAGCGTTGAATCAAAGGGAGAGAAACAAGCGGCTGTTGGCGGCAGCGAGTCTCAGCCTGACCTTTCGCTTGGCGTCCCTGCACCGGCGGCCTTGTCTGTTGAGCAGCACGTGGTTCCTCCATCTCTGCTCCAGCGTGCCAGAGTCCTGCGGCCCTCCGGCACTCGAAGACATGCGACAGCCACTGCTGCTACAGACAGACAGGGCGACCAGTTGGTCGTCACGAGCACCACAGGCAGAGACAAGGGGAGGGGACAGGAGGACATCAATGCGTTTCATGGGGGGCCAATCCTTGGCCGTCGTCACCCGTCCCTGACTGCCCTGACGGAGAGGAGGGAAGACGATGGCGTGGAAGGGGGACGGTATGGGTTGGCTGTCTCACTGCATCCCGCCGCCCTGCAGGCTGGGCCGTTGACTGAGCGCACCCCAAGGAGGACAGTGTTTAAAGATATCTCGGCCAGGCCGGCCGAGCGTCGAGAGTCAGCAAAAGCCTCACTCAAAGTGGTGTCGTCACTGCCGCTGGCTGTCTCGGTCGACAGAGGCGTCAGGGCGTTGCTACAAGCACCAAAGGAACAAGAGGCCGGGAGCACCGATCATCAAGTATCTCCACAGCGCCCTGACAAGAGCAAAGCAAAGCAAGAAGGCACGGCCATCGCAACCGCCGCAGCGCAGCCTACGATCGATGACTTTGCCACTCTCCTCAAGTGAGTACCTGACTGATTGCACCACCGCACCGTGTACGTATTGCCTCACGCTCGTCGGTCTTGTCGGTCGGTCTTTCTGTTCATTTGTCTGTTATTCAGGTGGATGATGGTCAGACAAAGAGGTCGGGGCGAGGTTGGCGAGTTGGAATATCCGCCTGCCGTGGTGCCGTCGTCTCTGCGTGGACATGTCTCTCCCGCCTCGGTGCTTGACCGGGAGGACTCGATGAGGTCCGAGACAGTACACTTGCCGCCTCTCTCGCCGCCCGGGACTGACGTAACACGAGAGACACAACAAGACACATCCATCGAAAAGAAAGGAGGGCAACAGGGCCTTGTGTCGCCGGGCAAGAGGTTGGACGCCAAGAAGCTGCTCCATGCGGCCCGGCAGTACGTGCAGTCAGGCTTCGCCACATCTGCTCTCCATCAACTCTTACAGGCGGGATGCGCATCAAGTCAATGAGCAAAGGAGTCATTACAAGTGAGTACCCGCACGCAACCATTAGACCAGCGTTTCTGGGCCGCAGACAGACAGACAGACAGACGGTCAGCACTACATTCCTTGGGACGGATAGACGGACAGGCAGACACGCGAAGCACAACAGAAGGAAGAAAGAAAAGGCTGACTAACCTACTGCCTTTTTTTCATTTTTTGTGTTTGCTGGTGAGAGCGCTTCATTTGTAAAAATGCGACATGGGTGTACAGATTTGTTGAGTGACAATGAAATGCTCTGATATTTCTATGTGTCGTGTGCATACACATTGACCCCCGAGTTTACTTTCCGCTATCAGACGCTTCTACCCGCCCCCGCCACACCACACAAAATACAGCGTCATCGCCTGATGGTGCGGCCAAAAAGCAAAGCCAAACCAGACTTGACTCAGTAGTGAGGGCACTGCCTCTCGCCGCCTGCACTAGCTGTGCTGGAAATTGGACTCACAGTGGTGGGCACTGCATTTCCCTCGCGCAGACATACATGATTGCATGAATAACCTCACTCACTGCCCCCGGCCAGTCGAGTCGCTGATTCGTGCATCCGTCCATGCAGCGACACATGGCATCCGTCAGCCAGTTGGTCTGTCGGTGTTGGCGAGATACACCTAACCCACTGAACCTAGCGCGACACACATAACGGGGCACAACTAAACGAGACACAGGTTACAGGTTCGTTACAGGTCTTCCACTTTGGTGACTGTGACATTCATGGGCTCGACATCGCGCTAACCTTGGCCGTCGACCTGGAGCCATACAACATTGCTGTGTTCTGGCACGCGGTGATGTGTCTGCAGGTGGAAGTGTGGAAGGAAGAGATACTACGGGAGAGAAGTTGCCATGTGGGAGGAAAATCTACTTGTGTGCTCCGTCAGTGGGGTCTGGGGACCATCGCGCTCAGCGAGAGAGACGAGAAGAAAGCTCGGGCATTCTTGCAGGTGCCCGCTAGTGGCCGTGTTAGTCAGTCGATAGCAAAGAAGTGGAAGACACAGGTACGCCAACACGGGTGTTGCAACAATGTCGCGGCTATGGGGGTTCGTCCAGGATCAGATGGAGACCATCGTGGAGACCCGGACACAAACGAAGCTGAATGTAAGTGCGTGCAAACGGTGGGTCGTCGCGCAATGAGTGATTTGTCATGTGCGTGTACGCAGATGACTTTTGAGAAAGGGGACGAGGATGTTCTGCGAGAGACATTCCGACAGCTTCGCGACATACGACTTCAGAATACATGACCTGTATCTGAAGCTACCGTCCTATGTCCATGAGACCAACACATGTGATTCTGACAATGAATCCATCCATCCGTCCCTCCAGGCCAGCTGGTCAAAAAACCACACACACATGACTGTTGTATGCCGGCCTCTGTCGGTCTCTGTTTATTTGTCTGTCATTCAGGTGGATGGTGTTCGAACAAAGGGATTCAGGCGAGGTTGGCGAGTTGGAATATCCGCCTGCCGTGGTGCCGTCGTCTCTGCGTGGACATGTCTCTCCCGCCTCGGTGCTTGACCGGGAGGACTCGATGAGGTCCGGGACAGCAGAAGGGCACACGACACGCGGAATAGCTTGCATTTCTGGAAATGGGAACGAGATCTGGAATGGCCGGCGCCTCCAGGAATGGCTCCGGTTGCCAGCAATGACCTGCCAGCTCTGGCATTGACTGTCCATTCCTGGCAGTGCATGTCCATTCCTGGCAGTGCATGGCCATTCCTGGCATTACATGGCCATTCCTGGAAGCGCATGGCCATTCCTGGAAGCGCATGGCCATTCCTGGCATTACATGGCCATTCCTGGCATTGACTGAGCATTCCTGGCATTGACTGACCATTCCTGGCTTTGAACGGCCATTCCTGGCATTGACTGACCTTTCCTGGCAACATTCACCGTCACACCAATCAATCAGTCGATCAATCGATCAATCAATCAATCAATCAGTCAGACAGTCAATGGTACTTGTCAAAAAATCACAAACAGCCAAGCACAGACAGACAGCCGCACGCAGAGGCCGTCACTCTCTGGATGAGCCGGGCTGCCCTTTGTGTGGTGGCATGAGGAGTGTGGCTGCATGGCTGGCTCTGCACAGCTCCCGGAGGCTGTGGTGGAGCTGCCATTTCAGGAGGTTGCCTTTCTGCAAGCGGTGCCGTATATGTATGTGCCAGAGGGTCAGATGGATGTTTTCTTTGCTGCAGACAGGTCGAATTCACTCGATGACTACAACTACCATTGACTGTCTGACTGATTGATTGATTGATTGACTGATTGATTGATTGATCGACTGATTGATTGGTGTGACGGTGAATGTTGCCAGGAAAGGTCAGTCAATGCCAGGAATGGCCGTTCAAAGCCAGGAATGGTCAGTCAATGCCAGGAATGGCCGTTCAAAGCCAGGAATGGTCAGTCAATGCCAGGAATGGCCATGTAATGCCAGGAATGGACATGTACTGCCAGGAATGGCCATGTAATGCCAGGAATGGCCATGTAATGCCAGGAATGGCCATGCGCTTCCAGGAATGGCCATGTAATGCCAGGAATGGCCATGCACTGCCAGGAATGGCCATGCACTGCCAGGAATGGACAGTCAATGCCAGAGCTGGCAGGTCATTGCTGGCAACCAGAGCCATTCCTGGAGGCGCCGGCCATTCCAGATCTCGTTCCCATTTCCAGAAATGCAAGCTATTCCGCGTGTCGTGCATGTGCACCTGCCGCCTCCCTCACCGCCCAGCACTACTGAAGTAATACGAGAGACACAACAAGAGACCTCGGCCGCACCCGCAGCATCAGAAAAGAAAGGAAGGCAACAGGGCCTTCTATCGCCGGGCAAGAGGCTGGACACCAAGAAGCTGCTCCATGCCGCCCGGAAGTACGTACAGTCAGGTTCGCCAATGAGGCTCTCCATCAACTCTTGAAGGCGGGATGCGTATCAAGTCAGTGCGTGAGCGAGTAGTCTGAGCACTTCATTTTAAAACGCGAATGCGACATCGGTGTCCAGCTTTGTTCAGTGACCATACACTTTATATGGTGTATGTACTGTATCTGTTGTGTTGTGTACAGTCCAGCCTTAACGCACTCGATCTGTACATGGTCAAAAACGGGTCGGATAACCGGGTCACCTCCCAAAGAGACTCAAATCAGCCATCCAACCCGACCATTCATGCCTGAAGATGACCGCAAGACGATGAGAACCTCTCTGTAAAATGCGGACCGATGAAAGAGTCACTTGACGCGTCACAATGCAGTCATTTTGATCTTGTCGTGAACACGTGAGCATTCGCTGGTCGCGCTATGAGAATGGTGAAATTTTTCGTACAGTCCGGACCGCGTAAGTGGGTCAGTACAGGGCTGACCCACTTACGTGTGTGACCCGCTTATGCGTACGTACAGAGCTGACCCACTTATTTTCCGGCGACTTTTGGAGTGATTTCTCGCTGTAAATGAATCACAGGAGCCTCTCAGAAGCCCGTTGACTCTTTTTTTCTCGCTCAAAGTCACTCAAAACGACGAAAAACCGTCTGTTCTCTCATTCATTCAATCAGTCCTTGGATGGCTGCGAGAGCCCTTGGATGTCTCCGAATGTTTGATTCATCGTCGATCTCCACACACGCCACGCAAAGTGATGCAGCCTGAGTGATTTTGCGAGAAGATTCGTCATTGACACATTCACTTGGCGTCATCAACGGTGTCTGATGGGCCATGACGGCACGAAAGGCATGAACAGCAAGCATAACAGGAAGCAAATCACATAAATGATGCCGCCCCACCGCCTGCAGCAGTGAATGCATCCGTCGGAATGCACGATGAGTGGGTAGTGGGTGGGCGGATGGGGTGGGTGTGGGTGGGCGGAGGGTGAAGTGATCCATGGAATGACTGAGGAGGAAGGAAGGCCGAACACATCAGGGCTGAAGAAACGTGTGTTCGGCTGGATGAATGCCGCCAGATGCCTCAGGTGACTCTGTTGACCACCACCTTGTTTGTCACAAATGGGTGTTCGTGCCTCAAACGTGAAGCAGCTGCTCTTCCGTTTACATCGTGATCAACCTCGCCAAGCAAACTCGCCTTTTTGTCGCCTTGATTCGTCTCAGAAGATGACAATCAAAATGTCTGTATTTCTCCATGGAATCATTCTCTCATCGGTCCGCTCTTTCACAGAGGTGTTCTTCATCGTCTTGCGGTCATTTTGAGCCACGAATGGTCGGCCCGAATGGCTGATTTGAGTCTCTTTGGGAGCTGACCCGGTTATCCGGTCCGTTTTTGACTGTGTACAGAGTGATCGGGATGGGCTGACCCACATACGCAATTGACCCGCTTA